TAAAAACGCTCATTACCACTACACCTGGAACAAACTAGAGAAAAAATGATCCCACGCCAGGGTTCAAAATATGCCTTTTGAATTACCCCAGGGTGTATTCTTTAATAAATAGTATGTTTTTGTGGGGAAGTTTCAATAACCAACCATCTAAACTACACCAAATTGGAACATGGACACAGCGTAAAACTTGGTACAAGCTAGCGGAAAAATGATCCCACGCTAAGGTTCAAAATATGCCTTTTGAAATACCCTGGGGTGTCTACTTTAAGAAATGGTAGGCCTTTGTGGGGTAGTTTGAATTTAAAACCTGCAAAGATGCTTGGAAATTGCACATAGGCCCAGCGTCAAAATTCAAAGTTCGGTAAAAACTGATATATGGCACTGTAGCTTCACAAAACAGTGCCAAAGACATACAACGGGGGTGTCATTTTACTCAGAAGACTTAGCCGAGCATAATTTGGGGAGTTTGAACTTAGTGGCACATATGAAATATACAAAATGCCCAGCAAAAATGCAATCCGTATGTAAAAAATACACAAAATTATTTTTTACCACATACTTTGGCATATATTGGTGAAAAAATGGGATACCCTGGAGTGTCTACTTTATGGTAGGCCTTTGTGGGTTTTTTTTGAACAGTCAAACTGCTATAATACCCCAAATGGAAGCATAGGCTCATTAAATCCATCTATCAAAATTCTACTGTTAGTACTGAAAAGGACAGGTCTCCTATATGGTACTGTAACTTCACAAAATAGTGCCAAAGACATACAATGGGGGTGTCATTTTACTCAGCAGATGTAACTGAACACAAAATAAAACTTTGTACAGGAATAGCACACAACAACTTTACAAAATACACATGATAATTTCTTTGTTATAAGTTTGTGTGCCAAAAAAACAAACAAACACAATTTTACTCCAATATTTAGCAGAGGTTGGCGGTGAAATGGCTACATAGAAAGTGTCAAAACAACCTTAGGTAAATAGCCCGTGATGTCTACTTTATATAAATATATACTTTTGTGTGGCAATTTTGTTTTCTTTTATGGCTATTAAGCTTACAAGACAAACATACCAAATTCTAAAATCGCTCCACATTAAAAGTTTATTGTACTCCTTGTACTTTGTGACCTGTAACTACCAAAAAAAACTTAAAATCCCAGACACATTATATATTCTGTAAATCAGAACAACTAAATGAATTTATTTTTAATTACTTTCCTTAACCTGCACTAATTGTGTACACATTATTATTGCAAAAACTGTAAACAAAAAACACAAAATTTATCATTTTTTTTGCATTTTTCTATAATAAATAAGCATTTATATATATGTATAAATATATGCATATATATACATATATATATATATATATATTTATATATACATATATATATATATATATATATATATATATATATATATATATATATATATATATATATAAATGTTACATCAAATTAAAGCCCTTTCTGTCCTTTAAAAAATGGTATATAATATGTGTCGGTGCAATAAATTAGTAAAATGCAAATTGCAGTTGAACGTAAACAGCAAAAAATGCTGTTGTCATTAAGTGAAAGACAAGCTTCCTAAGCTCTGTCCTTAAGGGGTAAAACAAAAACCTGACTGAGGCAAAAATAATAGAGGTTTAGTTACGGTATATGATCATATATTGAATAAGCCTGCCACAACGCCAATGTAGTCCATGTTTGGCAGGTCCTATTCTGACAAGCTAATGCCTGATCTTATGAGAATAATCCACTTACTTTGGCAATGCTTCATCCTGGGCTCTCTACAGTGCAAGGTTAAATAGGACCCTGGAACAGTGAAGGATGCAAAGTCAGGAGTTGGCCTGGACCGAAAATATATTTATAAATATCCCAAATATATATATATAAGTAGTCAAGACGGCTGCAGTCACCTGAACATGCATACATTATAAGGTTGCTGCTGGGGTAAATTAATACAACATACAAGATCCAGCGCACTCACTCATTCACTAAGCAGCAACTGAAAAGCTGTCACAGGAGCTCCTTGGTGCACCAACATGAGATTATCAGTGAAAGATCAGACAGACTCACGGTCTTTAAATTCTCCAGAACATCAAATAATCATCATGGCAATCATGCTTCTAAATGGGATCTTGCTTGCAACTTTTTTAATTTTGTCTACTATACCCCTAACCAATTTTCAAACCTGATTCCCCCCCCCCCCTCTCATTTTACATGCTATTGACATTTTTAGTTTAGTTTCTATGAACTTATAGAATCATGTGATTTTTTTAACCTTTTGGTGTGTTTGCATGGGAATTTCTAAACCACGTTATATTTCTTCCAGTGTTGTAAAGTTTGTATGTGGCACCCAGATGACGAACTTTAAAAATGTTAAAGAATGTATAATGTTTCAGATGTTCGGCATTTCTCTATGGCAACTCTATACCCGGGGAAACAAAACAGTGGCAGGCTGGGTGAAGAATGGTTATTTTAACAGTAGTTGCTCTATCTACAGATTTACTAGGCATTGATTTACAAGCTGTGAATGAATAGTAGCCTTCAACAACAGGAAGCTTTGCTATTAAAACTCTTACTTTTCAGCGTGAGCCCGGAGTCAAGCTGTACAGCTTACAGGAAAGCTCACAACAGGAGCTCTAATAATCATCACAGTTCACCATAAGGAAATGCCTTCATTTCTCTTACACAGCTCTTAATCAGACACTGACAGCACACCTTTGATCAGGATATTAGAAAATCAAGATTAAACAGTTCTAGATCCCCTTAACGCTTTCCGGATTTTCTCTTTCTTTAAACACATTTTCTAAAAACTTTTTTATTTTCAAGATGAAGAATTCCAGTAAATAATGTGTCAAACCTGGAGATATTGTTTCATTTACTTTATCATGGAGATACATCTCCTATTTTCCCTGGCTCTATGTATTATTTATTTTGACAATGTTTTAAGGTATCCTTCATATATTTTCCTGGCCAACTGCTCGCTGGAAATGTTCATACCATAAACTTAACTCCAACCTACCTCTGATGATCATCCTACCTCCTACCTCCGATACTAGCAAAAAGTCTAGATTTAATTTAAGCAGTCACTTTATACCAGTGTCACACAGTGAAAGTCTATCCTTACATTAACTGTAACTGATCAGTTAAATTTATAAGCTAAAAAGAAGTAATTTGTCTTGACATGAGAATCAAATATTACTTAATATGATAAGGCCAATAGTGTGAAGTGCATTGTGACAAACATGTTGTTCTATATAGATAACAGTACATTCCAACCAATAAGTCTGTCAAATATGAAATCCTACTCATTCATAAACTCTGCAGGTGATGATGGAGAAGGATTTGACGCTGAGTGCTCAATCACCAGATATTTGACAATCCATATAAACCATTTTCATCCCCTCTGCATTATGGTCTACTATCCTCAGGTTTTGTTTGTTTGTTTTCATTGTCTCTTAGACTCACTTTGGTCCCTCCTGCATCTTTTTTCACAATCTGCACCTTAGTTCCCACAATCATCTGCATCCCTGTCCATTTTAAACAAACTTTAAACTGTTTTTCTCTTTATCAGTTTCTACTCAAACTCATTCAAGCAACCCCATCCCATTTCCTCTTTATGTCCAATATGTTTTGCTTGCCTCCATCTTAATTCTCACAATTCATACTCAATAGTAGCTGCTCTTCATGTCTTTATGTTGAACAAATAGGTATGTTGTTCCTTCACTCTGCATGGGGTAATGGAGCAAAAGAGCCTTGCTTCATCCACTTGCTATATGAGTCACTATGGGAGCCTTATATAGCTTTTATATCTATATATAGATAAGAATGGGGGACCTGATGAGCATGTGTGCCAAATGCCGCATGTGCATCTAGGCTTCCTCTAAGGATAGGATTTAATAAATGCTTTTTATGGGGGCTTCAGCATCACATGACTTAGTTTTACTCAGGAAATGCCTCTAGTGGCTGTCGGTTTGGCAACCACTAGAGGTTGACTTATTCCTGCAATGTAAACACTGGCTGAGATCGTCAATATTGCAGGGACAAAATGACAAGACCATTGCACCCAAAACACTTCATTGAGATGGAATTGCTTGGGTGACTTTAGGGGTCCTCTAACTCCCTGCATACCACTGATTTGCTATATTGTCTAATAGCATTACAAAAAATCAATATTTTATTATTGGCTAGCATATTTGCATAGCTACATTACCCAACTTACAAGTCTAGGTCAGAGATAGGAAGACAGAAAGAACATATTACCGGATTTAATAATGGCCGGGTTTAACATATAAAAAGAGATATGCACAAGTATAATTCTAGCCAAGATTAGGATAACAGAAAAATGGGAGTATGATAGAACTAGCCAGGTCAGAATTACAGAGGTCTGCGAGGTCAATAAATAAATTATAGTTGAATAACCAGACAATCAGAGAATATATAACGTATTATATGAGGAACCAAGCGTAAACTACAAGGGGGACATAAAACTTTATTTATACACTAAGGTGGACTTTGATTGGTCTACATCATCTCTGTGACCCCAAAAAGTGCAGTGATGAGGTGGCTTTCCAAGAACTGAAAATTATGCTAGGTATCATATTTGCAAATGTAGAGGGGAGTTGCGTGCATGCAGCATCGCTCTCCTTGCCTGAAGACCAGGAAGTGTCTGCCTCCTGATTCAGAAAGTCTGGAATCAACCACCAATCAAAAAGGCAGAAGCCTAAGTCTAGGCTTTCTGATTCCGAACGGCATGCACAGTGTCAGGGTACCTGTTGGTGATGTATCCAGGGAGGACATCCTCTCTGCTTAGGGCCTCCCTGCCCCTAGCATTTCGGCATATTCCGGCCGTTTTCGCGCCGGCCGCGCTAGCTCCTCCCCCTTTTATGACGCGACGGCTAGCGTCGACGTCATGACGTCGGCATTTGCATAAAGTGCCGGGAACCGCTATTCCGGACCTTTTGGGGGCGTGGTCTCTATTTAGGTACAGGGTATTTAAAGGAAACCTTTACTACTGCTCATTGCCCTGTCGTGGTTCTAGCTTGCTAGTCACTCAGCGCGTTCTTTATCTTGTGTTTCCGGTTTTGACCCTTGCTTGTCTTTTGTCCTGTTGTCCTCTCCTCTCCTTTGACTCGGCTTGTATCTCGCTTACCTGTCCTCCGGCTCCCTTGACCTCGGCTTACCTTTTGACTATTCTTGCTTTGTCCTTACGTTAGTCCGGCCATTCTAAGGTCCGGTATACGTACCTCATTCTGTGCGCACTCTGCGTATTGGATCCCTGTCACTTTCCTGACATTACGACAGGGCCATGATGGATCCTGCAGGTGCTAGCCCTCCTGACCCCAGATTTGAGGCCATGGACCATAGAATGGACCAAATGGCTTTAGCGTTACAAACTTTGTTAACACGCTCCAGTACCCAGTCTGAAGAAATACGTTCCACTGCTAGCCACTCGCTAAGTACTGGTTTGGAAGTAGCCACTGTAGGCGCATCTTCCCATGTCACGTCACCATTACGATATGGGGGTTCGCCTGATGCTTGTCGTGGTTTTTTAAACCAGATAAGCATACATTTCGAACTACAACCCCGGGCTTATCCCACTGACAGGGCTAAGGTAGGCTTTATTATAACCCTGCTAATAGATAAAGCACTTAGATGGGCCAATCCCCTTTGGGAGAATGACAATCCTTTAGTCTACAACTACACTGCGTTTGTCACGGCTTTTAGAAGAACCTTTGACCCCCCAGGGAGGAAGATTAATGCGGCCAGATCCCTGTTACGCCTTAAACAACAAGATAGGACCCTTGTAGAATATGCTCTAGAGTTTAGATCATTGGCAGCAGAAGTGAAATGGAACGAACAAGCTTTTATGGATGTTTTCTTGAATGGGTTGTCTGATGAAATTCTAGATGAAATTGCCACAAGAGAACTTCCGGAAAATTTAGAGGATTTAGTATCCTTCATTTCCAGAATAGATGAACGCATGAGACAGAGGCAGAACACTCGGGAAAGAGTTACTAGACTTCCTGTAAGACTCGCTCCCTCATTTCAGAACCCTGACTCCTATAATCCTACTCCACCAGAACCTATGCAAATAGGTAATACTCGCTTATCTGAGGCTGAGAGACAGTACAGAAGAAGGGAGGGTCTCTGTTTATACTGCGGGCTGAGAGGTCACCTACGCCTTAGTTGCCCTAATCGTCCGGGAAACGCTCGCACCTAAGTTCCCTTAGAGGACGGGCCTTGGGTGTTTCATTACTGTCCTCTATGCATAATAAAAAAGACCATAGGCTTCTGATTCCTGTCTCTCTAGCTTGGGAAAAGGGGTTTATTACTACAATGGCATTATTAGATTCTGGAGCAGCAGAAAGCTTTATAGACCAAACTTTCGCTAATAAGCATTGTATCCCATTCCAATTGAGAGATACACCCTTGGCCGTTGAGGCCATAGATGGTAGACCTTTATCTGAACCAGTAATATTCCATGAGACCAACCCGTTAAGCTTACTGTTGGTATTTTCCACGAGGAGTTGATTTCCCTTCTGTTAATTTCCTCCCCGGCAGTCCCAGTGGTACTAGGATATTCTTGGCTCAAGAGACACAACCCTCAGATTGACTGGGAGGGTGGAGAAATCATTTCTTGGGGTATGGGTTGTAGGAAAGAATGTCTGCAGAGAGTTACTTCTGTTTGCCCCGTAAACTCTTATGTTAACACTTCTCAATCCACAGACGTTCAGATACCATTACAATATCTAGACCTCAAATCTGTATTTGACAAGGGTAAGGCGGATACTTTACCTCCCCACCGGTCTTATGACTGTTCTATTAAACTTTTCCCTGGTACTATGCCTCCCAGGGGTACGGTATACCCTCTATCCACCAAGGAAAACTTAGTTTTAGAGGAATATATCAAGGAGAATTTAGACAAAGGATTTATTAGAAAGTCTTCTTCTCCGGCGGGGGCGGGTTTCTTTTTTGTAGAAAAGAAAGACGGTACCTTACGTCCTTGTATAGACTATCGGGGATTGAACAAAATTACTATCAGAAATGCTTACCCTATTCCTTTAATTACTGAACTCTTTGACAGACTAAGGGGCTCGAGTATTTTTACCAAACTTGATTTAAGAGGAGCATATAACTTAGTGCGAATTAAACAAGGAGATGAATGGATGACAGCATTTAATACCCGTTACGGGCATTATGAGTATACCGTAATGCCGTTTGGGCTTTGTAACGCCCCGGCCGTCTTCCAAGACTTGATCAATGAAGTTCTTAGAGAATTCCAACATGAATGTGTAATTGTATATTTGGATGATATACTAATCCATTCTAGAGACATTAATTCACATCATAGACAAGTCAGAAAGGTATTACAGAAACTTTTACAACATGGATTGTATTGTAAATTGGAAAAATGTAGCTTTGACCAGTCTCAGGTAACTTTCTTAGGTTACGTAATTTCCAAAGACGGGTTTATGATGGACCCGACCAAACTAAAATCGATTTTAGATTGGCCTTTACCTAAGGGACTCAAAGCCATACAAAGATTTCTTGGATTTTCTAATTATTACAGACGTTTTATTAAAGGGTACTCCTCTGTTATCGCTCCTATCACTAATATGACCAAACAAGGAGCCGATACCAAAACCTGGTCTACTGAGGCTTTATCTGCTTTCGAAACGCTCAAACAGTCTTTTGCCTCAGCACCTGTATTAGTTCATCCTGATACCTCTCTACCCTTTTTACTTGAAGTTGATGCGTCTGAAACAGGGATAGGCGCAGTGTTGTCCCAAAGACAAAGTTTAGATAAGCCGCTGCACCCTTGCGGTTTTTTTTCCAAGAAACTATCACACACTGAAAGGAGATATGACATTGGTGATAGAGAACTTCTAGCTATCATTATGGCATTAAAGGAATGGAGACATTTGTTAGAGGGCACCGTCCTCCCAGTTACTATCTTGACTGACCACAAAAATTTATCGTATATGGGGGAGGCCAAAAGATTATCTGCCAGGCAGGCACGTTGGTCTATGTTCCTTACACACTTTAATTATGTGCTTACTTACAGGCCTGGTTCTAAGAACACTAAGGCAGACGCTTTGTCACGTCAGCACGAACCTACCACCTCTACAGAGGAGACTTTGTTCTCTATTATTCCTGGAGTCAATATTATCGCCAACACCAATGTCAAAATACACTCTCCATTGCTCGCTGATATTATGAACGAACAATCTCTTGCTCCCGAACGTACTCCTGTGGGCCGCTTGTTCGTGTCCCCCAAATTCCAAGTGGACATTATTCGCTGTTTCCACGATAGCAAGTTCGCTGGTCACCCCGGCATCCACAAAACTTACTGCCTGATCTCCAAAGACTTCTGGTGGCCCGGTTTACGTAGGGATGTGGAAGACTTTGTCAAGGCTTGCAATGTTTGTGTCAGGAATAAACTTCCGCGGGATCTCCCTTGTGGTTTATTGCAGCCCTTAGTCGTTCCCAACAAACCTTGGGCTTGTTTGGCTATGGATTTTATTGTTGATCTACCAGCTTCCAATAGGCATACAGTTATCCTCACGGTCCTTGACAGGTTTACTAAAATGGCTCATTTCGTTCCCTTGCCTAAACTTCCGTCCTCCCCCGAACTGGCCGTGATATTTGCTAGAGAAATTTTCCGTTTACATGGTATTCCCAATGAGATTGTGTCAGACAGGGGTTCCCAATTTATTTCCCGTTTTTGGAGATCCTTCTGTTCACAGTTGGGCATCAAACTGAATTTTTCTTCGGCCTATCATCCTCAATCTAACGGAGCAGCCGAACGCACTAACCAAAAAATTGAGCAATATCTACGTTGTTTTGTTTCTGAACACCAGGATGACTGGGTCGGTCTGATTCCTTGGGCGGAGTTTGCTCACAACAACCTTGTTTGTGGTTCCACTCGTAATAGCCCCTTTTTCTTGAACTATGGCTTTAACCCTACTGTTCTTCCGTCGGTGTCTCCTTCCCAGGGTATACCGTCGGTTGATATTCATGTAGCCAACCTGAGAAAGTTGTGGGATCAGACTCAACAAATTCTTGAACGTAGTTCCGCGGTGTTTAAGTCACATGCTGATAGGCGTAGACGTCCTGCTCCTATTTTTTCTCCGGGGGATAGGGTCTGGTTGTGTACCAGACACATTCGCCTGAAAGTTCCTTCCTTGAAGTTTGCTCCTCGTTACATTGGTCCTTACAGGGTACTGAGGAGGATCAACCCGGTTTCTTATTTGCTGGATCTACCTCCTACTCTACGCATCCCTAACTCTTTTCATGTGTCGTTATTGAAACCTCTTGTTTGTAACAGATTTTCCTCCCGCTCTGCTCCTCCATCCTCGGTCCGTGTGGATGGTCAGGAGGAATATATCATCAAGTCCATCCTTGATTCTCGTATTTCTAGGGGGAAGCTGCAATACCTCATAGACTGGAAAGGTTATGGTCCGGAAGAGAGGTCTTGGGTTCCTGGTAATGACGTGCATGCTCCTCGTCTTCTTCGGGCCTTCCACGTTCGTTTTCCCTCTAAGCCCGGTCCCATCCGCCCGGTGGGCGTTTCTAGAAGGGGGGGTACTGTCAGGGTACCTGTTGGTGATGTATCCAGGGAGGACATCCTCTCTGCTTAGGGCCTCCCTGCCCCTAGCATTTCGGCATATTCCGGCCGTTTTCGCGCCGGCCGCGCTAGCTCCTCCCCCTTTTATGACGCGACGGCTAGCGTCGACGTCATGACGTCGGCATTTGCATAAAGTGCCGGGAACCGCTATTCCGGACCTTTTGGGGGCGTGGTCTCTATTTAGGTACAGGGTATTTAAAGGAAACCTTTACTACTGCTCATTGCCCTGTCGTGGTTCTAGCTTGCTAGTCACTCAGCGCGTTCTTTATCTTGTGTTTCCGGTTTTGACCCTTGCTTGTCTTTTGTCCTGTTGTCCTCTCCTCTCCTTTGACTCGGCTTGTATCTCGCTTACCTGTCCTCCGGCTCCCTTGACCTCGGCTTACCTTTTGACTATTCTTGCTTTGTCCTTACGTTAGTCCGGCCATTCTAAGGTCCGGTATACGTACCTCATTCTGTGCGCACTCTGCGTATTGGATCCCTGTCACTTTCCTGACACACAGGAATGCCAGAGCAGTGCATCGATCAGGTAAGTACAGCAAAAGATTTAGGTATATTTAATAACAAAGACTGTCAAATGTCAAAGATAATTTATATTATAAATGAAAGGTGAATTGGTGTACTTCATTAAGTTTGTTTAATATATTTGGTTATATTTGTTTATGGGTTTTTTGTTTGCCTTTTGTAAGGAGAGAAAGTAGAGTGTTATTTTTCAGAAAAACTTAAAATGTTTGAGAAACAAGAAAATAATTTGAAACTATGAATTCGCCTGGGCTTTTGATAGTCACTGAAGTAGTCCCATAAAGTTTTAAAGAAACCCAGCACCTAGAAAGGGATCAGGGATAATTAAGGGAAAGGAACATACAGAAATCGAGGCAGTTCCAATGAAAAGAAGGGTGACAGTGACATTTAGAAGAAGTAGAAATGAAATTTAGATGAAAGGGACAGAGGCTTTTAGATAAAGTGACAGTGACATTGTTGTCACTGTCCCTATTCCTTTAAATGTCGCTTTCCATGTGGAGGACTTTTACACGTGAAATGGGAAAGAAGCAATGCAAATGCAACACAGGCTGATCCTTCTTACACACCCATATATTGACACAAACAAACTCCTGCATTCCTGCGCTCACACCAACTCTTCAAACGCATACGTGACTGCATTTACACATGCACACTGGCACTCTAAGCATACAACCCTGCATTCAATAACTGTCCATGCATGTACCCTCTCACATTTAATAATCCTCCTGCTGGAACAAGTTTGCATAGTACAGCATAGGTATACGTTTTTAGTTTTTTCAAACAGAAATTTTATTTAGCAATCTGCAGCACACAGAAACATAGAAAAAAAACAAAACGCATGACTGTGTCATCATAACAGACTATTAATGCCCCCAGGGGTGTACTGAACAATCAATAAATGTACACATTAGTAGATGGGTAAAATAGTCGATAAAATAATTCCAGTAGAAGTACAAAAAGAGCAAACAAAAACTTAAAGGGAATGATAAATTGAAAAAAAACAGAAAATAGATAGAAAATGTAAGATATACCTTTATACATTTGAATGAATCTGGTAATGTATGATTTAACTAAAACCATAAATGCCGTTTATTTCCTGGCTAGGCATATACCGTGAAAACTCACCTGAGATTGTAAACAAATTTGTCTGAATGTCATGTTTTGCATAAGAAGGTAATTGACTTCCGTGCATCCATGACATAAGCAATATGCAGGTTAGATAAGAGTGTCACTTTCCATCTAAATATAGTATCCCTCTACAGTATTTTTAGCACACTGTTGATGAGTTGCACCATGTAGCTCTACAAATGACTCTGCATGTTCCACTAAACAAAAAGATTAATAGATAAAAACTGTTTTTCCACAAAGGTAAAAGTGGTATAAAAATCATTGTATCTGTCAAACAGCGCAAATCTGCTCATAGTCCTAACTCAATTTTTAACATGACAATAGATCAGATAGACTGGACATATAATATCTTACCACTGAAAAGCAACGTTTGTACTCACTTAAGGAAGTCAACTGAACTGTGACCAATTCCCATTCTGAGTTATTTATGTTCCACTTCGCTGTGAAGATTGTATAATAATTCTTCATATGGGTTTTTAAAAATATCATCCATGCGCATAAGAACTCAAACAGTGCTTCCCTGAAAGATACAGAGGACTTAACGATCTTCAGTCTTAACTCCTGAGTTAAATATCAAATCAATACACACACACTTTACACTGAAGGTAAAACCTGATTCCCCTAGCATTCTTAGAGGCTTCTACAAATAAGAAACAAGGGGATACTCTATGTCTCTGATACTAATGTATGTAATGTATGTATGTATATATGTATGTCTCTGATTTCCCAGTAGCACTGCCCAGTTCCCTGCAATGCACATTTGATGGGGATTGAAGATATAGTGTTTTTTCCTAATGGCAAAAAAAGTAGCTACTTAAAATTAAAATCTTTACACTTATAAAAATTACTTTCACGCTCTCATCTTGTGCCAATGGAAACCTGAATCCAACAATTAAAATTATTTTCTTTAAAGAGGCAATATGATGAAACTTAAAGGGACACTCCAAGAACCAAAACAAATTTAATGCATTTGATAGATACAATAATTTTTAGCTGCAAAGGCGTTGATGCAGATATTATGAGCTCGCTGCACAGTATCCTGACTGGTTGTATGAGAGCAGCACTGTCATGGCTGTCACACCCACAGGACCTGTATTCAGGGTCAGATTTTCTTTTAAGGGGTTACTAAAACCAAAAAACTGTGTTTTAAACTGTGTTTTAATAAATGCTATCACAACCACTGCTTTTAAATTAAAGAAACAAAGAAAATTGAATGACATTCTTGTACTGTATTTGGGGGTGGTCTTGTAAGTAGTAGTATTGTGCATGTGTAAGGGCTGCTTGTGGTGTTATATGCATTTGAAGACTGCTTATGGGATTGTGCTTGTGCAGAGGATACTGTTTCTGGTATAGTATATGTGTAAAGTAGTCTGTTTGTGATGTACTATGGGCTGTAATGTGCAGGGCCGGATTAACATAGGGGCTGATGGAGCTGCAGCTCCAGGCCCAGGCCCATGGAATAGGCCCATTTAAAAAAAAATAATAATAATTATTATTATTTTTTTTACACACTACTCTTAGGTTTGCCACCTGACTGTTTTTTTACTGGCACAGCCGGTATTTGAGGCTGCCTGGCCGTTCCGGTATTGCAGTAATACCGGCAATACAAATGCAGGTAATTTTCTCAGGATAAATGGAGATTACTCTGCAATACCAGCACCGTCCAGTAGGGGTCACTGTGTGTGGAGAGAGGCAGGGATAGGAAGTTTCAGCATATCCCTGCCTCTCTCTACTACTCACTGATCCGTGGTCCTGACAGTCCAGACAGCAGCTCTACAGCTCAGGTAAGTGAGGGATGGGGGGAAAGGCAGCAGGGACACATGGGGACACTGAGACATTAGGGGACATATGGGGACACTGAGACACTAGGGGACAGAGACACTAGGGGACACATGGGGACACAGACACTAGGGGACACTGAGACACTAGGACACAGACACTGGGAGACCTGCGAACACTGAGACACTTGGGGACACTGGAAAACATGGGGACACTGAGACACTAGGGGACACTGAGACACTAGGGGACACATGGGGACACTGAGACACTAGGGGACACAGACACTAGGGGACACTGAGACACTAGAACACATGGGGACACAGACACTGGGAGACCTGGGGACACTGAGACACTTGAGGACACTGGAAAACATGGGGACACTGGGACACATGGGGATGCTGACATACATGGGGACGCTGTGAGACATAGAGACATTGGGAGACACTGAGACATTGGGACACAGAGACACTATGTTCCCATGTCCCCCTGCCAGTGTCCCTAGTGTCTGTGTCCCCAAGTCTCCCAGTGTCTGTGTCCCATGTCTCTTAGTGTGCCTAGTGTCCCTATATGTCCCAGTGTCCCCATGTCTATGTCCACAACTGTCCTTATGTCTCCCCAAGTGTCTTTCTCCCAGCCAGTGTCCCCTAGTCTCCCAGTGTCCCCTAGTCTCCCAGTGTCTGTGTCCCTAGTGTCTTAGTGTCCCCAAATGTTTCAGTGTCCCCATGTCTCCCCGTGTCTGTGTTCCTAGTGCCTCAGTGTGCCTGGTGGCCCCATGTCTCCCAGTGTCCCTATATGTCCCAGTGTCCCCATGTCTATGTCCACAACTGTCCCCATGTCTCCCAGTGTCCCCAAGTGTCTGTCTCCCAGCCAGTGTCCCCTAGTCTCCGTGTCTGTCTTCCCATGTCTTAGTGTCCCCAAATGTTTCAGTGTCCCCATGTCTCCCAGTGACATGGGGACACGCTGAGACATTGGGACACTGGGAGAAATGGGGACACAGACACTGGGAGACTAGGGGACTGGGCAACATGGGGACACTGACACTGTGATACATAGGGACACTGAGACACTGGGTGACTTGCGAGACTGAGACACTGGGAGACAGGGAGACACTGGGAGCAATTCATCTATACAGCAGAATAAAACTGTGAGTAGTTTGTTGGGGATTTTACATAATTTTCTCTGATATCACTCCTTGTGATTTACATCATGTGATGTCACGCATAACTAATTAATTATACAAATGATTAAGGCTGGTATTTTTTTCCAAGAAAGGTGTCCCCATGGAAAGGAGCACCTTAACTGCTCTTCACATACTTTTGCTTAAAGGAGCACTATAGGGTCAGGAACACAATCATGTATTTCTGACCCTATTATGTCAAAACCACCACCTTCTTGCCTCCCTAAATATAGTAAAATATTACTTGTATTCAAGTCTGCAGCTGCTGGCTCAGAAGTGGTGGTCTGAGCAAATTACAATACTTCCCCATAGGATTGGCTGAGACTGTTAACTAGACAGATCAGGGGCAGAGCCAGCACAAGTCCAACATAGCCCTGGCCAATCAGCATCTCCTCATAAAGATAAATTGAATCAATGCATCTCTATAGGAAAGTTCAGTGTCTGCATGCAGAGGACCAGCGAGTGCTAGGGGACAGTCCTTAGAAAGCATGGAGTGAGCGCATCATTAGACGCATTTATGTCAAGCTCAAGGTGCTGCCTGCATATTATGCCCTTAGTTGGACAGCCTGCAGGATTGGCAGGCAGCCTGACATTCATTCATGCCAGGCTGACCTTCCAATTCTTTGGACAAACATGCCCCCTTTTTGGGCATGTTCACCCCTTTTGGCAAGTCTTGTCACGTGATTCGCGCCAGTGGCACACCCTTTTACCCTGCCCATTGACTTCCTGCTTCACTGGACACTGCTGTTAGGGGTTATGGATTTACTTGAAAGATGAAAGCATAAATTAGAGAGAAATTAGCATAGAGTATGTGTTTTCTTATAGCTGCATCTTATGAATTAGGCCCATCATAATTGTCAGCACCAGGCCCACTGTGCTTTTAATCCGGCCATGGTAATGT